AATTAATGAGTATTTGTTTGATGAAGACCATTATTAAATAAATTTAAAAAAACAGTGTTTGTTTGCTAATGTTACCAGCTTAGGGGAAAAGTTATATATACGTATATATAATATAATATATATCCTGCCAATTAGCAGTAACTTTGGTGGCTCGGTCGGACCCTCGGTCTCAACTATGGACTATTGTTGACATTGTATCATAATTAATGAAGTTTTCTAACTGTCGAAGAAATGGAATCTGCGAGTATTATATATTTGTGACACCGAACTATCTCTTTCCTTTCTTGAACTATCTCTTTCCTTCCTTTCTTTTTAACAAAAACTATCTCTTTCCTTTTCCTGTATCTAATTTTGATCTGGTAGAGGTTTCGTTTTGCCCATAACAAAAACTTTCTCCAGTTTGCAGTGGTATAGGTTACTTCTTGGCCTTTGTTTCGAGCTTGTATCATTTGGTGATCATATATAACTTGAAGAGATGGCGGGTTGCATTGTTCGCGGCTATGCTGCCCTAAAAAAGAAAGCTTCTCATTATTTCTGCTTCTCCAAGGCTGCTTTATTAATGCAAGGTACTCTTAATTTTGTTAAGATATGTTAAGAATTAATTGTATTATTTCTTCGTTAGTTTCTCATATTTTCATAACCAAAAAAGAAAAAAAAAAAGGAGGGTCTTCTTAATATGACAAATTAGATCTTGTACCTCCTCTTATTATCCTTGCTTCTTGCTTCAAAAAAATATTTATTTTCCTTTGAATCTTTGTGTCTTTCATAGCCCTAAAATTTTCTATTGTTTTTTCCCTCTAATTTATCTTTTCTCCTTTATTATTTTTTTCCCTCCAGCATCAATTTTCTTTCAATTCTTTTCAAAAAGCTGCTTTGGGTGAGCCACTGGCCTGTTTCTAATTATTTTTTCACCTACTTTTGGTTTTGGTGTTAATAATGACCTTGGCCATGGTTTGTCGCTATCTAAATCTCTTCAACCTTTTGGCTCGCTTCGGCCTTCGCCGCCTAATGGTAGTCAATGTGACTCTTTTAGTGACTGTAGCACGGTTGGACTCAATTCATATCTTGATGAGAGGTTTTTGCTCTATTGTTTCTCCAACCATGTGGTGTCCCTTCTAGTCCTTTTTTGACATGAAATTACGACACCCGATTTCTTAGTTATATATAATTAATTCGCTTTCAAGATTTCTTCTATTTTCAAGATGTTTTTTGCATTCTAGATTTATGTTGTCTTCTACTCAAGTTGGGAAAACCATCTAGAATTTAAAATGTTAAAATATGTTAAGAATCAATTTCATTAAAGTTTGATTGATTTCAGATAGGGTAAAGGCTCTTTATATATATATATATATATGTATATCCTTGATGATGAGTCATACAATAAGAAAAATCTTCCTGTTCTTAAGCTCTCCTGCTTGGAAAATGCTACAAACACCCTCTTCTGTTACACACTCTGTTACACATATTCACTATTTGTCACGTTTAATTAACTCCAAATACCTAGTCTAGCCCTTTCTTTCTCTTTCTCCTTTCCTTTCTCCTTCTTGTTGTTCACCGTCCTCACCAATTCCATCTTCCTCTTCTTCATCATCATCAATTTCACTAGCACAAGGCATGAAGTTGAGCAAGTGGGAACATGCAAAGGAACCCAGATTTGGTGTTGGGGAAGGGGCGAGAAAATGAAAGGATTTAGAGGTTGAAGATAATGATTTAGGAACCCAGCCTGGGTTCCTTCAAACTCTTCTCTCCACCATGGCGATATGCCCCTATTTAGATCTTTCTTTTATCTCTTTTAATTGGCACAGTCTCTTCTCTAGATCTTCATGGTTTCATGGTTTTTTTAATTTGGGTAGTTGTTGCTTTTCTCAATTTCTCAACCTTTTTTGATGGGGGTTTGAAGTGCTATGATGATTGATTAACTTTGTACTCCTTGCACTGTTGAGCTTTTATTGTTTCATTTTTTTCCTTTAGTATCTTTGACTCTGATGGGTGTTGGGGGGTTTATGATTCAGTTCAAGGCTTCAAGTCCTTTTTTCTAGAGCTTGAGGGAGAAGTGGATGAAATTGCATTTAGGAACCTAACAGCCTAGGTTCCTTCGAACTCTTCTCTCCACCATGGTGATATGCCCCTATTTAGATCTTTCTTTTATCTCTTTTAATGGGCACCGTCTTCTCTAGATCTTCATGGTTTCATGGGTTTTTTTTTTTTTTTTAATTTGGGTAGTTGTTAATTTTCTCAATTACTAAACCATTTTTGTTGGGGGTTTGAAGTGCTATGTTAATTGATTAACTTTGTACTCCTCGCACTATTGAGCTTTCATTGTTTCCTTTAGTATCTTTTACTCTGATGGGTGTTGGGGGGTTTATGATTTAGTTCAAGGCTTCAAGTCCTTTTTTTTGAAGCTTGAGGGAGAAGTGGATGAAATTGAAGATTTCATTGGGGGTCATTTGGGAGTTAACAGAAAGTAACAAAGAGTGAGTGTGTATAACGGAGGAGTGTAAATGTATCATTGTCCTTCTCACTTATTTCAAAATTCAGACTTGACATCTTCAACATGTATGAATAAATGCTTTTTTATATGCACTAATTTCATGTCAAAATAAAAAAATATTATGTATTAATTTTATATAGAGAAAAGTAAAAATTAAAATGTCTTGGTATTTTAAATGTCAAAACTCATTATAAAATTATTTAAATATCTTTAATGATTTTTTTTGTGTGTTGTCTTTTTAGGTAAATTTTTGTTTGTTATTTCATTAAAGATATTTTAATCTGTTCACTATCAGTTTTATGATATGTTAATTACCAAGATATCATGATTTTCCTTAGTTCCTTTCATATCTTAGAATAATTTTAGAGCTAAAATTTCTTTTTGATAATTACTAAGAGGAGTTCAACTCTAAAGAGACAAAACATCTTTGATTCCATAAAATGGTTGACAAGAACGTATCAACACTATGCTTATTTAATTTCCTGCAATATATTGGCTGCGACAGGTTTATTTTTCAGCCATGGCTTTGTACAACTTGCATTTTTACATGTCATGATTTCATTTATCGAAGAGATCTTGGGGAAGGACATACTGTGGTACAATGCAGTCGTTTCGACCCTTGTAGAAGGCACTACATCGATTTTGGCCAGTTTAATGTCATACGATAAGTATGGACGCATGTTTCCTAAGACGTTTATTCTCATCACTCAAGGAATTTTCCTCACAGTAAGTTCATTCTTTATATTTCTATAGGTAAATTGCACTTAGGCTATATAATTTTAGGCGGGGGCGTTGAACACCGATGTCATTTAAAATATGCACTTAAGAGCATTGAACCACAAGAGTATTTGAGATTTCACTTTCAGTATTAATGAACTTAGAGATTAAGCACATATTTTCCTAATCACCAATTAAGGAGGTTAAAAGTGCATTTTCTTAATTTGAGATAAATACATATATTTTAAAACTTCATAAGAATCTAACTACATATTTTATGTTGTGGGGTTGCACCCACCCAAATCACATAGGGGGTAAGTGTAATTTCCCCTATTTTTATCAAGTTTTTTTTTTCCTAACTAAATATGACACAAAGTAGTGCAACTGATTGCCATTCTTGTTGCAGGGTTTGCTGACATTGTGGCTTACTCCATCATCAAACATTAGAACTATTTACTTGGTACTGTCATTAGTAACGGTAGGCAAAGCAGGAGTAAGATACATAACCTTCTTCCTAAAACGCCAGATTAAGTTGGAACATGACATAGAAGACGAGAAAATGCTTGAGGATCGTGCAATATTTTGGAAGGTTATTGGTCGGATTTCAGGTGTCGCCACTGCTATAGGTATATCATCAAGGCCTTGGAAACTAAAGTTTATGTTTTCAGCGATAGCAATGGGAATTGGCTACCTGTCTTTCTGTTTTGGACTCACATATTACAAATCTGAAAGGAAAACAACTAATACCATGCCCGTGGTTTCGGAGGACAATCAATCAAGGAAGAGTTCCCAACGCTTGAGGCATCTAAAATTGCTTCCTTTATGGATACCATTCCTTGCCTACCATGTAGTCCAAACAGCTGGTACTACTTTGTTCCTGGCACAAATTGATGTGGTACAAGCTGATATTCTAGTTAAAAACATCAAGTTTGTGGATCCTAAAACTTGTATGATTTTAGTACGAAACTTTCCCGGTGTCCTCTTGCGTCCCATCTTAAAACGCTTTAGTGACAAAAAATATAAACTGCGTGCTGCGCTTACCTTGGCGATGGTTTTTAACTTTTGCTCCTGCATTGCTTCTTGGCATGTTGAGGCTCGCAGACTGCATATGTTCAAAAAATCAGGAAGCAATATGAACCTCTTCTGGTTGGTTCCACAGTTCTTCTTGTTAGGATGTGCGATCGAACTTGTAGGAGAAGGGCTTGAAGATTTCTTCTCTGACCTCGTACCAGAATCGAAGCAAGAGTTGGGATTCGCATTCAATACACTTGTGGAAGGAATGGGAAAGTTTAGTAGTGTGGGATTTGTTCTGGCCTTTCGACATTATTGGATTGGTGACACCATCAATAAAAGTCGTCTTGATAATTACTATGTGGGATTGGCATTTCTAACCTTATGGGCCTTACTTTTCTTCACATACCTATCAAATGCCTATGATTGGAAGATAGATCTTGAGAAGAGTGAAGAGGGGGACACAGATTTACCTAATGACTTAGATGTAGATGTACTCCCAATTGGAAATGGTCAAAATTTGATATCCGTAAAAGTTTAGTTAGTCTCAAATTTTAGTTAATGATCATTGTTTAATTTGACTTAGAGGGCATGTTTAGGGTTTTCCCATTTTATTTTTTGTGTTAAGCTTTTGTCAACACAACCAAAATGCCCTCTAAGAGCTAAGTATGTATTCTAATTTGTTTATTTATTTATTTTTGATAGTGAACAAGCTAGCATATATTCTAATTGTGTGCATGAACTAAATGCATGGCTTGTTGTTTAACGTTCTGTATATGCATTTCATTCCATTTATAACGAACCTTCATTTTATGAGAAATCTTGTTTTTGGGGTTAAAGGTCAGGGTATGAGAAATCTTGTTTGTAGCCTGTAGGCTTACACTTTAACAGGCCGGACCGGATGATTGAATAAAATGGGCTTGGGTTTGAAATAAGAGAAAAAAGAGAATGAAGTTTGGGCCCGTTATAGTTACCCCTAACAAAATTTCTAATGGATCTCATTTGATTGGGCCCAATTGCGTTAAATATGAGGTATCTTTCTAAGATCACCTAGGGGTAAAGCATTAATTAATTGAGGTTGCTTCTGAAATTACTCCCTCCATGGGGACCTTTCCTTATATATTAGGTTTTTGATGCGGCAGGTAGCACCTTCTTCATAGATAAAGCTTATTTGTATATAATACAGTATACAGAAATCTTCTGGAATCATAATGTTGCATTTAATTGGTTTATGTAATCACAAAGTTTTGCAGTGAGCTAAACCATCAGGAACAACAACAACTTAGGCTAGCAAAGATTACTTTCGTGATGTTGGTTTGCTTTTGTTCTGCATTGACACTTGGTATATTAAGGCTAAAAGAAAATCTGAAGGCTCCAAAACAAAGAGCATTCTACAATTTATCTTGTTAGGAAGTATCAAAGAAATGGTTAAATGAATGTTGGGAGAATGCTTCTGTGATCAAGTACCAGATCAATCCATGCATCATTTCGAATTCACTTTCAACAGCTTCGTGGAAGGAATGAGACAATTGTTAGCTTATTTCCCTTTCAAGC